TCCTGAAGGTCAGCAACAATCTCAGCAACCTGCTGTGAATCATCTGGCAGTGCCAGGCTGTCTGTCACTCTTTCAGGTTCAGCAGACACCTTCTCATCAGTGTTGACTGCACCTTGAGTAGGTGGCGCAGGTTCTGCAACTGAAGGATTTTGGTCTTCTTCCGGGATTGCCTCCCTTGGCAAGGAAGGAGGCAACTCATCACTGTCACTTTCAATCAGCAAAGTGTCGTTGTCTTGATATGCCACGGTCCCAAGCGGTTCATCCAGATCATCCTCAATTGCACAAACCTCATCACCATCATCAATCGCAGTCAGCCCCTCCTCCGATTCCTCCTCCTCCTCCTCCTCACCTAGCTCTGTAGCACCATCATTCTTTGCCACTGGCTGGTCCTTCTCTTTCTCTGCCAAATCAAGGGCCGAGGTGGAGACCCCTCGAGCCAACGGCATTGGAGCAGAGGGTGACTCCAGCGCCTGCATAGGACGCACCGGAGAAGGAGAATAGGGAAGTTGAGAATCATGGACCATCTGTTGAGTCTCAGCTTCATCAACTGGGTGGCTTTTTGATTGAGCTTCGGCCAACTGTTTTGCTTCTTCACGCTTTTTGGCCTCTGCCTCCTGAGTCAAACACGTTATGGCACACGACTGGGACCAAGTGCGTGCATGTCTATCGATCTATTCTACTCAACCTGCCTTGATCTTTGTGATGCCACGACCCCGTGATGCCACCCTTTTGCCTTCTGGTGTAAGGAGATCGTGCTCCTAGCACTATACCAACTATGCAGTTTTGTAAACGGCCATAAACGGCCACTATCGCCAAGCAAGGAAGAACGTAATATTGCATAGTGAAGCCAAACGCGTACAAAAAGATGTGTTCATAATAACAGTCCTGCAACTTCGCTCGGATCACTGAACGAATTTGCTCCATGCGTTCATGCCCAGGTCTGCCAGGAGCGGTTTGTGGAGGAATGTATTCTAGAAAAAGCGTGCAATTGAAGAAAAATGCATTATGAACCAAAAATATGCCGACACACTTTGTGAATTTCACCGGTTAACAGGCCTCGCACTCGGATTTCTTTGGAACCTGTCCAGGCACCAGGATCCCAGGGCTTGGATCACTCCCGCCTCAATCGCAGCCCAATCCTGCACAATGTCACTTTTTCGAACGAATGTTTTACAAGATGTTCAAGTCAGTTCCACTCTATGGTGGATAGTTTGCATGATTGCAACTGCAACGTCCTGGTGCTTTTGGACATTTTGCCATGGATTCAACTTGAAGGTCAAACTTGTAAACTTCAACGCTTCCTGGAAGTGAGTTCAAAAAGGCCAGCAACATGATTCAATCAAACAATTTGTAAGTTGTGCGATAATATATTTTATAAACGCAGGCTTTTGCACATTGCCATTTCACACAACATCCTCAATTTCTCGGCGTCGGGGCAGATCATGGGCAAAACTTGCACAGTACTGCATGGCAAAGACATGGTTCAGTGGGTTCTCAACCTGCCAAAATGAACTAGAAGAAATATCCATTTCACAATGCCGTGCAATAATGACATGGGCATTGCATGATCAACACTTGTAAATCCAACGGAAGTGCATGTGCAATATACCAGTGGGTGGCACCTCTCGTTCACCCAGCTCTCGGCCTTCCTGAATGATGAATCGAAACTTGGGAACCTGGAGCGACATAGAGAAAGTCTGTTTAATCAAAACTATGTCGTAAGTTCACTCGACCACCAAAGGTAGTTCGTAGGATGAGCTATTTGATGCTAATTAAGTTCATTCATTCATGACTGAACCATTGTCAAAAACAGTGGTGCTTAAAAGAAGTAATAAGGCAAGAACTAATTTCCTGTCGGTTTCTCGTAGTCCAGCCCTAATCCGTAGCAACTTGCGGCGTTCAGAGATCCACGTCTCATCTTCACAGAAGCCCTTTAGCAATTCCTGGTCAGGGATGATCAATCAGTTAGTGTAGACCTAGAGTCTATATAGATCGATCTATTAATTTGCAATGACATCATCACACAACGTATTTCACATATGGCATGGAGACATCCACTTGTTCTGAACACTTCTATAGGATCTATTGTATGTCTTGGGTATTTTGGGTAGGCTGCATCCCATGTTTGACATGCATAGCTAGTGTGCACATCTTGATCGAACAGTCCTTTAGCAAAGCCACTCTCTTTGGATCAATGCGTTTCACTGCCGACATTGCGCAGATGTTTCTGGAGAGATTGCGAAGCAGTATCGCACAGATTTGGGAAACCCTTTCAGATCCCACTAGAGCACACCACTGCTTGACCCACAGAAGTGATAGAAAATAGTGCAGGCGATCTCAACGCATGCATCCACAGGGCAAACAACAGTCACAATATGTCACAATCACATTGGCGATTTATATACTGAAATTGGGGGAGCACACCTTCATCCAAATCCGAGAGGTCCACAATGTCATCACCATACTCCTGTTCCAGAGCACCTGGGCATTGGAGGCACACAGGACGATGAGCGCTCTACTGGAGAAAAGCTGATGCAAGAGTGCTGGCTAAGTTTCGGGCGCTTGGCCAAAGCACGCTTCATGTGCCATGGTCTTTGGTCGAGGGATGCAACAAAACACAGCAGTACTTAGTCTTTAACTGCGCTAAGTGGTATAGATCTATGGATCCCACAATCTTATCAAGACATGTCAAAACAATCTAATCATAGGAATCTGCGCGGTCTAGGGTTGTAGGGCCAAAATGGCCTCTGAATGCCTCTGAGCCTGGCGATTTATACGTTCCAAGAGTGGCCGGGCGTTCAAGAATGCAATCAAAGGTGGTTGGCTGCAAAGAAAGGCCTCTGTGGAACCACCTTTCTTTTAAAGGTCGAGGACCACCAGGGTATATATAATATATATTATATATATATACATATGTTCGATAGCGGGGTTACCATCTAATCTACGTCACTAACTTTGGAGATGTTGTTGGGTTCCAATTCGATGGCTCCCCAACGCAAAGACTTGGTGGAAAGCAGCCGGGTCTCTCTCTCTCTCTCTATGTATGTTTGTTTGTGGGAGGGTACCTGTTGCCTTCTATTGGTCACCAGCAGCCTCCACAAGACTCAGATGGCTTCCGACTTAGTGCTTAGTACTTAGTGCTGACAGGCCGAGCAGCCGGCAACAGCAAATTGGCAGTTCAAGCAAGTGCAGGCTCAAGAAGGTGATCCCAGATTTTCTTGCAGGGCGGTCAGCGACCGAACGCCACGCAACGCCACGCGACGCCACGAAGGAGGAACGGGTTCCATCGATGCATCAACTGTGGAGGTTTACTCCTTCCCTTACGGCACGGGCAAACCTCCATGCAACTCAGCGACTCAGCAATATCACAAAACATCACAAGAGCGTGCCTGCAGCACACGCAACTAGAAAAACAAGTAGTCTATCATCGTAGTCTCATACTGAGGCTCAGATGCTCCATCCTCCCCAGTGCGCTGGCAAGCAAGCGAGCAGCCCAGCACTGCGCTGTCGATGGAACAGGAGTTGACAGCGCCTTGGTTTGTTTAGTTGGCGGAGGTGGTGAGGTGGTGGGGCAGTAGTTCAGAATGAAGGTGACCGAGCAGCGAGTGGAACATGAACGACTGCCACATATCTACAATCTCTGGACGGCACGTGCGCTTGAAGCGCAACAACAAGTGAGAGAGAAGATCAGACTGAATGAAGATTCATCTCCCCATCCCTGCCCTGATTCATCACCCCGCTCCGGGCAGGAATTTCCATGGCATCCTGGATCTGCTGTTTCACCCCTATGCGTCCACATGCCCTCCTATCAAGGGTGATGTCTTCGACACCGGTGTAGGCGCATCGCTAGGGCCACAGTGGACCCCTAGGGTCTGGACCTATGGAGACGGTGGACTAGTGGGTTGGAGGCCATCGCGATTGTGCTCTTTAAAGTAAAATACCAGCAGTCACAAGACGGGGTGCTATCCATGGAGGTTTAGGGTGCCCAGAACATCCACTCACTTAGGGACGAGTCACACCACCCCGACATGTGACTCCTGGTGGATTATTTTTTGTGCATTTCTCGGATCTCAGATGATGGGCCTCCAAAATGTGATACTTGACCAGCGGGTGGAAGGAACATTCATGCGGTGCCGGTACAAATGGCGCTCGATAAAAGGACCGTGTTGAGAATCTTTGATGAGCGAAGATGACATGCTTGTCACTGTGAGTTTGTTCATGTTTCTTCCGGTCTACTCCCACAGGCACCACCGTTCAATGTAGACTCTTGATACTCTTGATTCATAAAATCCCCCCCGTCTCAAGAGTCCCCATCTCTTGTTTCTCCGTCTCCGAGGCCTGCTGGTCTGTGATGGACACCCCGAAGCAGAAGTGAGTTGAGACCATTGAGACTATATAGACTTCTCCGTGTTGAGATGGGCCACCGGGGCAGCCCAACATAGAAGATGACATTAAAGGAGAGACTCTCCACGCATCGCGTAGCCTGGAGTAATATAGACACTTCTATGTCAGGGGGGACCATCAACCCACATCCAACAGCAGGTGCCTGAGATTTGCCGTGTCGCATGAACCTTCTTCCGGCAAAGATCCAGGCATCATTGTTTCCCACGAGGCCTGGGAAGTTGACCCCAAAATTAGATCAAAAAATGCAGACCTGGGCAGATCTGCCTTGGGCAGCCCTATGTTTGATTTATAGACATACAGTATAGTATAGGTATGCTGGCCAAGTAATTCGAATCTAATTCGTGCGACGTCGCAAGCTGACTCGTGTAAGCTTTGTGTCACCGTGCTTCGGGGTTGGCCGAATGCTCGCATTCGTCCTGGGGTGGAGCCAGACCTGTTGGCACCATGTCAAAGATGCTGACTTGCGAGGAAGGAGGCCATTCACGGCTAGAGTAACAGGTGGACAGTCCTGCAGTAAGTAGCTAGGGTCTTGTGGAGTCGTTGCTTGGAAGACGGGATTTGCTCTCTCCGGATGCAGCTGATTGCCATCCCGGCAGGAAGAGGCGGGCAAGACAGCAGAGAAGCAGGAGCTGACAAGCAGAGAAGGGGAGGGGATGAGCGAGAGACATGGAGCGGACTCTCTTCAACATGACATGCCTAGTAATGATAGTAATGTGGACATCCCTGGGATGCTCTTTGTCCAAGGCACCTAAGAAACACAAAGAAGACTTGAAGATTCTCACGTCTTGCGACTGATTTCTGCAGGTTTTAAGGAGAAAGGGCGATCCTTGACTTTGCAATAATCCTCCCAATGCAGGACATCATGACACTGGACTCAAACATTTATGTTTATATAAGGCTATTGACTGCTAACCCCTAAGACTCCAGAGCGAGCTGCAGCACTTTGCGCTTGGTGAAATTGGAAGGAATGACCTGGTCGGGTAATTGCATACCCCAAGCTAACGAGCCCTTCGGGCAAGAAGGAGCATCTCCACCTAAGTTGACACTACAGACTACAGTCACCTTACTCTCTAGATTCACCTTAGGGGTTGCATATCGTGAGTGACCTAAAAGCTACGGCCAAAGTGTGAACCATGGCGAAACCAATGCCGAATGTTGGTGATCGCATGTTGGATCGGATGGCTGCCTCGTATTTCCTCGTTTTGACACGTGTCGAATCCCGTGGTGACTGGCCAGGGCGGTCGGCGTCACGTTTGGCATCCTGCCACGTATGAGGTTTAAGGAGAGGGCCCTACAGTTGAGGGACTGATTTCCCAAGAGCCCACATGCACAAGAACTCTCCAGCAATCTATATCCCTAACACTAACATACACTTAACACTGTTAAAATGAGGTTGTATAGTCCACTTGGACTGGTGGATCTTCGGCAGTTTGCTCATGTTTTGGTTTTCCACGTGGTTCAGGAGGTGGAGCTTGAAGCTGAAAGCAGGCGGGGTGTTGTGACCTGAAACACAGGTGGAGCATCAGGGAGGGACCTCTAGAAGCTGCAGCTGCAGAAATAGAACGACCTGGTGGAACTCTTCTGCCTGGACAACTCACACTTCTCCTTCTTCTTCGCATTTGCTGGCCTGGTCAGCTCTGACAGCTGCCAGCTCAGACGTCTGAGTTGGGGGTTCGCAAATTGAATCCAACCGAATCAACCAAGTCATCGCGACTTCTTTGACGTTTTTGAGGCCCTGCGCTGTGGGCCACAATCATTGTCTTTTGTTGCACCCATTGTAAGTTACAAGAATGCTGAGAGTAATCAATAAGTCACAGGCTTCCATTCTTCGCTGATTTTAGCTAGAGGTCTGGAACAGAAGACGTCCCATTCCGATCCAAATCCCTAAACTGAGTTGTATAAACATGAATAGATCTACCAAACCAAGGTAAACATGCCTTTTTTTTCATGCGAGCATATCAAGTGCGCCCACCCTCCGGCCCGGTAGAAGCAGCTGTTTGAACCGCCGGGTAGGCGCCTTGGCGCCGAGGGCCAGACAGATGAGGCAGGACATGAAAAGCAAGTGAGCTACGACCCAAACCACAGCTACACATGGTTTCCTGATGTTTCCTGGGAATTACACAGAGGTTGAGCTTAACACTATCCTTGTTGGTCAACTCCAACCACAGATACAAATCACCAGTGGCTTAATGAAGCATTTTGCTTAGTAGCTTTGTACCTGTGCCATGGGAGCCCTTTGGGTGTCTGGCCATCGATTAGAGGTCTACAGACTGCCTTCGGTCTCACAACGGCAGATGGTCAAAGGCCTCAGCACTTGCTCTCCAACCAAGTGTCCACGTTGTAGAGCAAGTTGTTTATTGCCATGTTTGTTACCATAAATTGCCGCACAAAAAAAAACCCACACCATACACCGGTGCATCGAACGTCAACAACCAGTGCGACTAGTATTACAAGGTCGTAGCTCAGGTGCACCTAACCTGAGACTTTTGGAGATCGTTTTGGCTTATATAAGAAGACTCGAAGACATGTGGAAGCGAACAATGGGGCCGGGTTGCCCTTGAAAAGATCCTAGAATCAGAGTGAAAAGATCAGCGCCATCATGGACGTTTGCTTGCTTTCTCATATTGCAGCAGTGGGGTGTCTTGTGATTTTCTGAGCATGCTCATGCTCACTGTATTCCATGTTTGTGGCCAAGGCGTGGCGGGTGAGATGCCCGAAGCAAACGGTATGCAAGTGTACTTCCATTTCCCGTGGTGAAAGATTCCAGTCAAGAGCCATCTTGCACCTGGCATGCGGAATCAACCTCACCAACTCCCGTCTGGGTTCCAGGTCGACCGCACATCCGGTCTGGCCTTCAAAAACTACCCGAATTGACTGTTGGTGAGTAAAACACTGGTGCGAGATGTAAAACCATTCTAGTAGGTGGGATTTTGGTTGGACTCCCCATATGTTGGTCCAGAACTTCGGAGATGAAGCGCCGGAACCGGCCCCAGGGAGCACTTCAAAACAGCACCGGACTCGCTGTCTTCGTCCCGTTTGTGACGTCCAAGAGGGACAGTGCTGTACAGGCGGGGTGAGACAGCTGTCAGAAGCTGCAGCTGGTGCTGCACGGAAAGTGCAAAAAGATTGGACAAGACTACCTCAAACACATGCCTGTTTGATCCTGTTTGATCCAAAAGCAGGTTGGAACTGCGGCAGGGTATTCCGATCTTTGGACACAGAAAGGTAACGGAGAGAGTGAGAGAGAGAGAGAGACTGAAGATTCGGGAATCTTCGGGAACCCCTTTGATTGTTTTTATTGTTGTCCTTAGACCCCCAAATATAGATGTTCGTAGATCCCGACGTTTGGGGGTCAAATATCCGAGACATTCCATGTCTGTCTATGCCTACATTGACCCCTCTGGCACCACCCCAATGTAGGTAAATATTCCAGTCCCATGGAGTGTCTGGGTATGATCAAATATAATAGTTGTTCTGAGAGTCATTTGCTTGTCTTCAGAACCTCCGTCCAGAAGCTCGCAGATCGCAGGTCCCAGATGGTGAGCTCGGTCAGGACATCACCCAAGCATCCGAGGCACAGATCAGATCTGCAGACGTTGCCCAGGAGAGGTTGTCCTGAAAATCCGCTGGGGGTTGGAAGATGGGGTGCTGGACGCAAAGGCGACCGTTACGTTCTTGGCTTTTGCCAAGGCATTGGGGACGAGCAAAGGAGCGAGAACACGTGTGAAAAAACGCAGTTTCATCCTTGTGCGATGCTTTCGGGCAGCAACCCTCCAGATTTCAGGCCGCAGCGATCCAATGAGTGGTCATGGACAAATAAGGGAAACCTTTTGACAAGGAAAGACCCAGGTAAATCCTTTCAAAGATCCCGTCGCCGCACCGGTAGCAACTGGCAGCCCAGCTGGCAGCCCAGCTGTTCTCCACGGCAGGTGCCCGTGGAGCCCAAGGAAGGAGGCCTTGCTGTGGAGTTGGAGTTGCTGGGACCCCAGTTGTCGGGACGGCCTATCAGAGCCTTGCTGAGCCACATTCCACGACTTGTCAGGACGGGGAACACCGGACATGTTTGCTGTCCAAGCATGATCTTGAAGTTGGTGGATGAACAAATGATGGAAAGATATGCAGAGATGAGAGAAGGAAATTCTTTTGAGTCTTCGAGCTCAGCACTCAGCACATGATGGATGCTCCAGATTGTGAGTTTGCTTCATGGTGTGAGTTTGCTTCATGGGAGATTCGGATGTTGGTTTGAACCTTGGAAGTTCATGCCTAATTTGTGCAGATGCCCTGGTCGGCTTGGTGGTCAAATGGTATATTATGGGTTGGTTTGGTAGGTTTGGCAGCTAGTAGGTAGAGCACACGGAACTTGAGGGTCCAGTTAAGCTAGAGGAGACTTAAAGGTGCCCTTTTGTAGTACAATAATAGTGCTTCTTGACTAAAGCGACTACTTGAATCGTAGCTGCAGTAGGTGCCAACCGTGGCCCACAAGGCCAGAAGCCAAGCCGGCGGCCGTTGGAACGGAGGCAGCTGCTGGAACGGAGGCGCAGGCTGGGGCTCAGTACCGTAGCAAAGAACACAGGAGTCTTGCTGGGACAGCAGATGTGCTGAATCCTTCCGATGGCAACTTCTAAAGCATGGGGTTGTTTGCATGTCAGCACCTGTCTTGGGGGGGATGGGAGGGGTTGAGGGAATGTTTCCGCGAGTTCTTTTGCTGTTTTTTGTTTAATAAATGGCCCAGTCTTCTTCGCAGGATCCTTTGGTGCTTTCCTCCCACGATCCTGTTTGCGATTCCTGGTGCTTTAAAAAAGAGAGATGTGTCCATATTAGGTCAAGGTTTTTGTTTGATGTGTTCCTTTTTGGCTCATTTAAGCACTATATCCTGAACAAAAACATCGGCGACCTTCTCCTCGTGCCACGAAAAGGTGTCCATCACAGTCTCACTCAACAATCTGGAGGTTTTTTTGGGTGAGCTTTATGAGTGGAACGAGTTCCCAGAATGGTGGTGTTCTTTCCCAGAATGGCTACACTCCCGAGTCAACTCACATAGACCCGGGTCCGTCCTGGTCACCGGGGTCAGATGGTTTTCCTCTACCAACCGGGGTCCATGTGAGGTTCCGGGGGTGTAGATGTTTGCCAGAATGGCTATCCCATAGGACTGCCGCCCCAGACAGACCCCTCTGGCACCACCACCACCCCTGGCCGTTTCTCGGCAGTCCGTCCTGGCAGTCCCATGGAGTGTTTGGCTATAGGAGGCATCAGGCCGCAAAGTCGTCGATCCACTACCGAAGCCTTGGGAACGGTCGACTCCAACCGGCGGTGCGGTCATCGAGGCGGAAGAGGCATCAGGCGCCGCGCGGATGGGTGCGATGGGTGGGTGCGATCAGCGTCTACTTTCTGGAAGCTGATAGAATCAGTCAAAGAGCCTTGAAATTGAACAAATCCGAATTCAATGAGTCAATCTGGCCAGAGAATCTTGCATTTAACAAACATGTGTCTGGATGAGTGAAAGACACTCGGTTTCGAAGGAGTTTCCGTCATCGAGCCACCGTGCTACTCTCATTCCCATGAAGCTTGCACCAGTGAAAGTCTATGGTTTCTGGTTCTGCTTCAACACAACCAACAACGTTTAGAACAGGTCGCTCGGTCGCCCAACGCAGCTCAGCTCTACGACTCGACGGCAGCTCGAACGCGCGCCGGATCTCCGTGTGTTCGTGCTGTGACCCTGGTTAGGCCTTTCCAATATACAGCGTGTTTCTGTTCGGGGTGCGCAACCGTTCCTGCAGGTGACCGGCCTCCAGAAGCAAATGGAGATCGCCCCAACGGAGCCAGCGTGCAGCCGGCAGAGCCGGTGATCTCGCCAGGCTGACGCGAGTGGCGAGCATGTTCTTTGCAGTCATCAGATTGTGGAGAAGTGTCACGCCACATGCGAAAACTCGCATGTACTATAGAGATGGTTGGATATGTTAAAACGAAAATATATAGATGTTCAATGTGTTTCATGTGGCAGCTAGGCCCTTCTTGTGGAAAGCCATTTGGGCACTCCTTTCGGACCTGAAGGTCTGCAAGATGGCCGTACGTACCCAGTCCCCCGAAGGGCAAGCGCCGATCAACTCCTCTCCGACTCCCCAGACCGCCATTGGGTGACCAATGGCCAGCCGTATATGGGTGAGCTTTGGAGTGGTTCCAGGGATTTGGCCCGAAATACATGGTGATCCGATTTGAAGGAGCACGCTTGTTATGCACATCTTCGCAAACACCCTAAGAGGCGTAAGAGGTGGTTCGTTTGCACACGCAACAGGTCCTGTGGAGCCAGAGCCTTCGGCGATGCCAGTGGTAGAGGCGATTCTGGATGAAGAAACTCCTCAACAAACATGGGATAACATGGGTTTGGTGAGAAACCATGAACAACTCATGGAAAAAACATAGTGTTTGTTTGCTCGAGTCGAGGAACATTGTGTTTGATTTGGTCCTGTTTGGTCCTCCTATCTTCCACTTTTTCACTGTGGAAGGGAGTGTGCTCAACTTGTGACATGGTTGACCTGTGCGGGGTTTGTGGCAGGGACTTTTTTTCTCCGGCAGAACCTTTGTCTCAGCAAGCAGCTGGTTTCATTCATTGATTTTCCCTTCACTGCAGTACTTGCGGTGACAGAAATTGAAATCGTTTGAGCTGCAGCCATGTATAACTTGAAAACCACCGCGCAGCCGCAGCATTGCCAGCAGCATCCAACCCCTAAACCCAACATGTGTGGGATGAGGGGACGCAAAGTCGTAAACACTTGGAGATCTCGTGCACTCCTCACTCCTCACTAAGTGGAAAATTGCCCCAGCCTCAATTCAATTCCCTTTGGATCAATGGTTTGCCGCCAAACAATGTGAAAGGGATTATTGAATGCACCAGACCATACTGCCACGGCAAGCAGTAAAAACATGTAAAAGCCCTTGATCCCTCATGTCTCACGGAGGCGAGCACGGAGAACGCAGTCCAGGCTGGTTCTGGACCCTTGCCCAGCAAGACGGCAGGGAACTCGGGAGTCGTGAGCAGGGCGTCATTAAGGCGTCCCAGCGAACAAGCATCATTTTGGAGCGACTGATGCCTTTTAAGGCGGCACCTGCGAAGGAGGTTGGCAAGGTACTCTCGATCTGAGTTCTAGCTCAAGTCCCGGCAAGCCGCTGGTTTCCGTGAATGAGGCGGGACCACCTGAAGCATCAGCGTCAGGGCCGAGGAGCCTGGGAGGGTCCGCCGGAATGGTTACATGAGGCGGCCAGCCAGCAGTAGTTTTAGATGGTTTCAACTGCTTCCAGGGCACTGTTTGGGTTCCAAGGTCTCGCCGTGGAATCACTGAATCGTGGAATCTCTGAATAGGATCATGAGTGGTCGTGTCCCACGCGAGAAGCCCTCAACCTCCAGGGATCATGAGGGAGTGACCGAGTAACCCCCCTTTGCCTCGCGGAAAAGCGAGGTAGTTGGAGCCCTGGAGATGAGAACAGATGCATGTGGGTTTTGGGGTTTGAATGGTAGCAGTGCATGTGCGTGTTGTGTTGCCTGCGCTGCAGGACGCCCTTGTCTCCACCCAGACTTCAGGAGCTGAACTCAGTCTGAGCTCTCACTGCTCAGTCTGAGAGGTGCATGGAATCTGAACAAGAAGGTTCTTTGTGACTTCTGGCCCTGTGACCAAAGGTCCCTTGTGAGCGGCTTCAAGTTGGCATGCAAACATATGATGGACAGCAAGCAGATGCAAGCAAGCAGTAGAACTGAGCTGCATCCGGATGCAGGTGCTTGATGAAGATTCTTGTTTTATACCAACTCCACAAGCACAAGCAAACTCCTTTTGCCGTTGATGCAAACAATCCTTTGCATGGAAAGGGTTAGCCTCCGTGTGCACGGCCTCCAGCCAGGCCCAGTGGCCCGATGGCCCGCGCGGCCTGAGCGGCCCGAGCCCGAGAAAGGGGCGAGATTGCGCGTGGATTGAATTATGGGAGAGCTGTCCAAAGACCAAAGACCTTGGAGGGTGGCAGAAATCCAATTGGAAGCCTTGAAGAAAGAAAGTCAGAAAGGCTTCCCAAGTCCCATACATATATAATATATAGATAGACAGAGATTGCCTGATCGATGGAGATGTCAGACATTTTTGTGACCCATAGTGACCACAACCGCCATTCATTTCATAGGCTTTACCAAACAACCATTGTTTTACTGCGTTTGAGCACTATAACACCAGTTCAACGATGTAGTTCCAACGTCGCCTTGGACTCGGACCCGCTCGGTCCGTTCAAGGCCGTTCAGACGAGAAGGGGGTGAAGCGGGTGAGCTCTCCCCCAACCGATGTGTCACAACAGGATCGCCGGAGTCCCGCCGGAGGGGTCGCGGGTCGAGCGGGTCGGTGATTGGCGGAAGCATTGCTGGAACAGATGCTTGGATTTGTGCTCGACCTGCACCATTGTAGAACCAACAATGGACATGCAATTCATAGATCTACTCTTTCATGAGTCCAATGAATCTTCCTGCGGGTGTCATGAATTCATACATGTCCTAAAATGATGTACCACACCCCTCCCCGCCTTTGTGATTGACACACTCGGCACATGTTCAGATTCCAACCCAGCGATTCTGAGGTCCGCTGCGGAAGAGCCCTGTGACCAAGCGGGGTCATTGGAGAGCGTCACGAGGAACATCCTGGTGGAATCAGAAGGTATAGATGGGCTTTGGACATGGCTGGGTGTGTGATATAATGTGATATTTACATGTGAGCACCTTCTGTCACTGTCAGTTGAAAGCTTTCCAGTATGCCCTTGCAAAGTCCAGGTTTATATAAGTGCTGTTTTTTTCATTGTTTTGGACACTCCATTTCGCTCAGACGGGTTCTGCTGCCTCACACTGTGGCCACCGTCCTAAAGGTTTCTGCCTTATTTGGCTGGTGCTTTGGAGCTACCTGAGCTTGGAGGGCTGGAGCATATCCATTTCTGTTCCTTTTTGGAGTACCCCGGAAGGACCCGGAGTTGAGCTATTGTATTTGGTTGCTTTTTTGTCAAGCGATGCTCAAAAAGAAGGCCACGGTCATGTTGCTTTTCAGATGTTTGGCGTTTGGAAGTAGACCCTATAGGTGGAGTTCCAAGTTGGTTTTTAATCGATGTTGCTGTTGAGGCCTCTGAAGCTGTTGAGGCTGGTTGAAGCTGTAATTGTTGGTTGAAGCTGTTGAGGCCTTTTTCGGGACTTGGACCTTGACCCGCCGAGACCGACCTCCCAGGTCCTTCAGCGGCACACCGCTGGCCCGAGCTGAGGTGCGAAGGAAGGAGCGGAACGGCCCAAGCAAAGACAACAGCAGTTCCTCCATGACTAGGAGGGCAGCAAGGTTACCTGTACTATAAGTGCTGCACATATTTTTACACGAAGCTACAATCGATGTTGCTTGACAACAACTTTCGCACAACACTGGTCGAGGATATGGTGCCATACAATGTAGATATTTACACCATGTTTTACCCCTAGATAGTGTCGGATTATGACTCTGAAGTGGGGGTAGTTCATGAGAGAGCTACAGTTTTCGCAGCGGACCGCCGTTCGGACCGCCGCGCCTCCGCCGCAGGCCATCCGCGCCTCCGCCGCCGCCGCCGATGAGAAGCGCAAGGGAGAACGCCCGGGCCAGAAGCAGCCGGAAGAGAGGGCGAAACGGGTTTGAGGTGCTTTTCGGGAGCCTCTCCCCAATTCTTCCCAATGTTAGTCAAGAACCTATTTGTATTCATTGGAAGAATAGGGAGCCCCCCCAATTGACTCGGAAGAAAGAAAATAGACCCAACACTAACACCATTGGGCCATGCGGGTTCCCAATGAAACTACTTGACCCACATTTGACTGAGTTGGCGTGGTCAATGTGGGTCACACTGACCAAGACTGACCCACAACATTGGGCAATTGGAGCGTGAATCGGCTTCAACCGCCGAAAAGCAAGAACTAGAGAACCCCTTGGGTGTTTGCTAGACTTGCTTCATGAACCATGAAAGGAACGTGTTTCTTTATAGAGTCTTTTTGAGTCTCAAACTTGGCTCATGAATCCATCATGAGCTACCCTTGGTGTGTGTGTGTGTGTGTGCGTGTTTTATACATGCCTCTTGAAAAAGCCACTGCGGTGTGCGCGCAAGGGCCCACCGACCCACTGCGAGCGCGCGTACGGGCCGTACAGCATGGCCCTGTGACGAACCGCAGGTTCCACCGGTTCCTAGAAGCACCCGCCGGTGCAGTTGGACGAACCCTATACTGATTTTATATGGAGCTGTCCAACAGTCTAGCACACTGCAACACGATCTCCGTCATCCTTGGGCACGGCTTTGAGAGGTCTATCCTCTTGACGGCTATGCAAACGAAAATCCACACTTCAACGCCCGACTCTTGGGGGATGCGGCGGTGGCCACGCGATGCATGCCAAGTGTTGTTGGCTGAACGCAAAGACGTTCTTTCAGGTTCAGCGAATGCTCAAAGTACCTATGGTCCCAGTCTGGATACATTGAGTACCACTAGGTCTTGCTAGACTCTATATAGTAGGACTCGAAAGCGAGTTGAATAGATGATGTCAATCTTCAATGGTCATTAATTATGTAGGTTGCGAGACGATCACTAAGTGGGGGGGAGAGGAAAGAACCAACTTGGACACTGGTGCAGGGTCGTTGCCTGCAGCAGCTGAAGGGCCGAGTGTAAAGCAACTTATGAACCAGGACACTCAAATCATTCCAACACTCAGAACACTAAGCGGCTTAAGCGCATGTTCTTTGTTCGAATTCTTGATTCAACACCAGAAAGTGACCAACCAGAACACTCTACTTATCAACATTCACCATAGTTTTGATATGTTTTGTAGAGTGTTGTTGTTATTCTATTTGTTGTTCTTCAACATCAGAGCCACATGTTTCACCATGTTGTTGGACAGCTGCCGTCCTCGCGTCCTCCAAATCCGAGCTCGGCACCGAAGAGGGAGAGAGAAGAGACCCACCGGACCGGTCCGGTGGTCCACCGGAGCCTGTTCCCCCAGTGGTTATTTGGTGAACAACTGGAATAGAAACGTATGGAAATAAAACAGAGTTGTGTTTTTGACTACCTACTTGTTTGGGGGAGTGTTATAAGTACTCAGCTGTGAAACAGGGGAAACTTCACTCCGGACTGGAGGATGAGGAAACCGATGACTTGGTGTTCCGTTTTCAGAAGACCATATGAGTGTGCAGGTGATCCCCGCGGATGTCTACACTGTTTAAGTTCGGTCCAAAGACGTCCGAAGGACGCGAGCTCTTACAGAATTCGAGTTTCTTGGGCAAATCTCATGTAGGCCCTCAATCATGCGGTTCACCCCCTAGCAGGGCACCCCTTACAGATTAAGGGATTTCCATTAAACCACTCCTTAGCTGGCCCTGGTACTTTTTGGCCATTGGGCCATTGTCCTAGTATTATGTTTGCTTCAAGTTTATGAGTATCTGAGACCATAGGGCTCCGCCGCCGTAGCCGTTATTGGTTTCACAGCCATTGAGAACCAATCAGTCTTTGGCTGCGGTACTCAGAGGTCAAGGCTGCCTACGACACTTGGCACACGATTAAATCCTGTAATGAAATGGTGGAATTGACCCGAAGGGGCCCCCCATGAGCCAGCAGAAAAGAACCGGTAATAAGATTTGTGGAATTGTGTGGATGGTTATGATGTACATTTGGTTACTTTATGGATTATTATTGTGTACTACATTGGGCTACAAAATATGATATACAGATGTAGTATACAGGCTGTATTCCCTTTGTTGGGTTTGGGTGCTGTATTGTTCTTTGACGGCTTGGACCATTGGATGTGTGTGTTGGATGTGTTTTATGTTTGGTTCCTTGGGTACCACTTAGGTCATGATCAACACTCGCAGAAAGATCATCAAGGACAAGGGTGGTGTTCCAACACCTTTGGAAGAAGAGGTGGCGAAGGCCCTGGTTGAGATCGAAGTGTCTCCCTCTTGCGACTACAAAGCTGAGATGCGAGAGGTCTATATCTCAGGTGCGACTGAGATTGAGGTGGGTAAAGGTGGAGAAGCAATGATCCTGCACATCCCTTTCCGCGCATGGCAATATGCCAAGAAGATTCAGTCCAGATTGATCAAAGAGTTGGAGAAGAAGTTCAATCGAAAACATGTGGTGCTGGTCGCCAGCCGCACCATCCTGGATAAGGACTTCAGACGAAAGGGTTTGAAGGTCCGCCCACGTAGCCGCACCCTGACAACTGTTCATGAGGCAATCCTCGAGGACATCGTTGGTCCCACTGAGATCGTAGGGAAGCGAAGACGACTTGGATGTGATGGCAGCCAAATTCTGAAAGTACTCTTGGACCCCAGGGACAAGGACCTCAGAGACTTGAGGTTCTTTGTTACTTGTGAGGTTGACCCACTATTGGACAATATAAGAATATATTATTACATTATACATAATTATAAGGATACATATATTATATAAGTGTAACTGTATATGATTACGAGAATAGTGAATCTGTGTTGAATCTATTCTATTGTATATTATATACGAGTCAATGAGTGATCATTTTTGCTTTTTGGCCTAGGACTTGGCCGCAGTTCGTTAGATGACCTTTGTGTGTTTTTGGTGAGAGGTCTCATGGGGCGACGACAGGACAAGGAGCACATTGACAACAAGTTGCCCGTGTATGCGGCCGTCTACAAGAAGCTTACCACAAAGGAGGCTGTTTTCAGCTTCCTTCAAGGATGAACGAGTGATGTCATGCGACCAAAAGTGAGCGTGATGTCCTGCCTGACGTGGGGCTTGGCCGGTTTGTGCATCCAATTCACCGCGTAGTCGCCATTGTTTTGAAAGACTGGCAGCTATGTCAGCTATGTGTTCAATGAAAGCAGCTGCCAATTTTCTGGCACCACCGCAAACATCCGTTGAACACCCCTAATTATTCCAGTTCTGTTTTGCTGATCCTTTCTAGGGATATTATGGATAAATATGGGTAAGCTATTTGTTCCGCAAGGAAGGCTCCGCAATTCAGTGTCGTCATGCCGAGGGCTGTGGAATTCTGGCACCTCCAGCATGGAATTCTGCAGGTGCTCTCGCTGTGCGGGGGGGGAATCATGTGGAAGCACACCCAGGGTTGTGCAATGAACAGAGGATTGGCCTAAGACAACTAAGGACAAGCCTACCTTGATGAAATGCCGCAATAGCATAGCCAACCAAAGGGGCGAGATGAAGACTACAGCATACTACCGCTATATGGTTCTCACATGTTATATTAGACGGTCGGCGTTGCCCTTGCTGGAGCCTGAAAACCGCTGCTAGCAGCGACCGAGGAAAGCAGTCTTTCTGCCCAAACCACCGGGTCCATGTGAGTCATACCTTGTCCCGGTCCCTGGGAGTGCATTGGATCACTCGGCAAGGGATCACTCCTGCCAGGATGGCGCCCAAATGATGGGGAAGACGATCAGGGTCGTTTTCTGGGGGGGTTCCGGGCGGTTGAAGAGATTTGGTGTGGACATGGTCAGATGGTTGGAGTGGACGGACGTTGGGAAGTGAAGGTTCGGTGATGTCTTCTTGCCATGTCGCTTGTACCTATGGTTACAGTCACCGTAGTACCTCGATATGTGCCAAGAGTTGTTGACGATGTCAAAACATGAGCCGAATTCTGCTTCAAATCGGTTCTCAGTAAAACCACAACGTTTCTCATCCTGGTTAGTCTTATTATAGTTATGTTTTGTATAGATATGCACACTTGGGTCTCATGTACAAGCCAGACAACAAAGCCGAACTTTGAAACCTTGGTGCAGGGAGTCCAGCGATTGGTGTCTATATACTAAATGTGTACAACGATTTGCTTTGATTTGCTGTGAGCTCATGCTTCACCTGTAAAGCTAAATGATTAGATGACTTAACAAAACAGAGTGCTCCTAAGCAAAAGGTGCCTTCCCGGTCCCAGGTGTTTCAGATTCTACGCCTTTGACCCAAATTGGGTTGTTTCCACTGGTGTTTCGCATGTCTCAAACGAACCAATGGGTTCTTCATTGGCGGTTCTTTCCTTTTCTGTTTGACTGCTTTCTGGGGGTTCGTCTTGCGATGTGATTTCGGAACTGGGACGGCAGGTTGAACGAGTGCGATTCACATGACCCATGTTCCAGGCACTGGGTATTTGGGTCCCGTGTTCTTTTCCATATACTATATATATATATATTAATATATGAGTGTGTGTTTGAGGAGTCTTTCTATGTTGTTTCTATTCCGAAACACGTCCATCTTGCGGGACTTGCGCTCTCGTCCCGTGCTGCACCGTTCGTTGTTGGGCATGGAACGGAGGACTTGATGCTGCAGAGGGCCTATGAGGCGAACGCTTCTGGGCCAATGAGGTAGCCATAACCAGTTCCGCTGCTGGTTACTGCTATACTTCTGGACCAGGTGGTCCGGTGCCGGTCCAAACTGGTAGGGGTTGGCGAAGTGGAAAACCCCCCAAAGGTTGGACAGTTCTTTTGGAAGATCTACAGCAAAAACTCACCGTTTTTCTTCTCCAAGCAGAGGTTTTCTGGGTTTTCTGACCCATTCTATGGGGGGAAGTCATCTTCTTATCCAGTGATCCACGGGTCCACGGTACCTCAGGTTCGGTACGACGCACGACCCGACGCCTCGGGATGGGTGGATCCATAGGGATGAACAGTCTGAGGGTCGGGCCTCACAAGCTTCCAGATCCATTGTTGCCATTCAATATAAACCCTAGGGATCCAGTCGTACCGGACCTCAGGTTAGGTGATGTGTTCGACACTGTTGTGTAGGTGCCAGGAGGGTCCAGTCGTACCTTGTGAGAAGGTACTTGGATCCCTATAGGGAAATACATCATACGCAGCAATGCCTGGGCGAGCTGGAACCAGGTCGCCATCCGAGTCGTGAGTTTGCCCGTATGTATACTTGTACTATGGAGGCATCGAGGTGTCCAAATAGTTAGATTAGTATAGATTAGTAGAAACAGCCTTAACAGCTTTCAATGCATTCAGCCGAGAAAGAGCGTGAGCTGTTCTAGGTTGTTGGGGTCGCTAAGAGTGTGCGTGTGTGTGTGTGTGTGTTAGTGTTTGTGTGCTGATGCTGCCTGGGTTGCCAAGTTTGTCTTGAGAGGTCTACCGTCAGCAACAACTTGATCTTTTGCGAGATTGAGTTTGAGAGCTGACCTCGCCGTGGAGGATGGTGTGGAGGCATTGCAAAAAGATAGATTTTCCCCATGATTAGGCCCTTATCTATTCAAACGGGGGACCTGTTGCAAACTTATATATATAAATTAGTTGTTTACATATTGCATAATCATAATTGTGTTTTCTATTTTTACCCGCACTATCCATGGGAAACCCCGCCGCTGCGGGACACCAACGGCGAAGACATGCTGTGCATAGTGAGCTGCGCGCTGGGCGCTCTCTTCTGTGATGGTTTCCGTGGATCAGCTTTTTCATCAAGTGAGGGAGGATGGGTGCATCTTGACTGGCTGAGCTGTGCAGACGGAAAGGTTGGTTTTTCAACATGGAAAACAGGTCCTGACCTGTTCCAAAGGGGTGGATGTTCGCCGTCCCTTCAAGAGGCGCTCGATGTGAAGTGGACTCGGGGAGCGTTTGGTGTGTGACGACCCACGCGTACGTCAGCAGTCGATGGATTTGGAAGGACACCCCACGTAGTATGGAATCTCATGAAACCATACTGTATTATAGTTTGGGGTCCAAAATCACCTAAGAATGGTTTCTAAGTCTAGTTGCACCCAATTGCAAGCACATGCACCCAATTAGCCGTCCAAATTCACCCCCCGTATCGTGGTCTATAGTTGCTAGTTGCACCATGTTGCACCCATATCTTCTCATCAGGCACACCCCATGTGACATTCATGCTTGCGAAGAGGGCACCTATATATGAACAACGAGCGATCAATCAGGGAACAACGAGCAACAACGCAACGTTCCGCACGCTTCGGGTGGTTCCGCACCCGAAAAGCAGGGCAGAAGCACCACATTCACCCCGTCTCCAACTCAAAAGGCAGAATGTCGATTGAACTACCCCTAGGGCCCTAGGGCTCCTGGCCCACCTCCGTTTCGAAGATGGGCCAGGGGTGGGTGCCAGGGGGGTCTAACCACCGAACCTGAGGAGATGGGCCAGGAGCCCTAGGGCACAGTACCCAGAAATTCTTTGATCAAGAGACATTAGACTCGGTGACATGAATTGCTCTGCTGTTTTTCCAAGTGGTCACGCACGGGTTCAATCATGGGTTCACGCGATTGCTCTGGATCGAGGTCAACCACTTATTAGTAGGCGTCGAATACGCCACCCTGATATGATCACGGCAAACTGTCCATGGTTCACCCTGGCAGACCATGCCCTCTGGAGGCACCGTGGCCCGGCGACCGCCGCAGATCGCACCACTCTTTGGACAGGCAGATCGAGCACACACACAAACGAGAGCCTTTGCGTTGTATACATGGAGCATCCATCAACCACCCATAATATTGCCGCTACCGATCAACTAGATTGGGAGATAGGAGTCAAATGATCATGAGTTATATATATATATATATACTTGCAGGTTGGTGCCGTTGGATAGCTCATTTCATGCGCTTTTCGTTGCGGGCCACGCAGCCGACGTCAGCCAATGCTCCATGGTCAAAAAGGGCACGCACACCGCTGCGGTGTACACCTCCAATCAGCGGGTGAACCGATGGTCGGTTGCTTTCGTGATCGGTCAGAGCGTTTGGTGCAGAGCTGCTTGGGTCTCATTTTCCCAAGTTGGCCAGCAGCTGGGTTCCGAAGCATGCATGACCTGGATTCAAGATCGGGACTTGGTTCACACCTGCTTTGATTGGAAAACATGGCAGGCCAGTTGTTGATAATTTTTGCTGCTCCGACGCAGGCAGAGCGTCACAAAACTCCCTTGGCATGGCCCAGGCATCTCACCAGACTGATGTCACCTGTGTCGAGGCGATTGGGCCAATCAGAAGGGTGACTGGCCTACCAAGCTCATTCCTGTCTACCAGACTAGTAGGCCACTAGCTATCAACAACACATCAATGACAGTGACCTACTAGAAAGGTCACTGAGTAGGAAAAGCAATGAACAACTTTGTGGTGTTGGCCTTCCTGGCTCGTTGCTCACAGGTGGATGTCAGAATAGGTGTGGCTCAAGTTTAGATCGACATCTTGTGCACATATCCAGGCCGCAGCCCAACATAATTACTGTACTCAAGTTGGTCTAGGCAGCATCAACATTCTCAAGCCAATTGAGCAATCATCATAGAGTTCAAAGCTGTGGAAAAAACTGTTGTTGACCATATGATCTACCATGTACTCCCATGATGACAGCTTCTAGATCCGGAATTTAGCTTTGCAAAGGATGTGCCGTTGCCATGATCAGGCAAGTTCCAGGATTCCGCTGTTTTGTGCGTTTCTTGTTGTTCCAAGCCCACCTTCGTGTGTTTGGGCTCGAAGGCCAAGACTGGTAGGGCCGCCGAACGGTAGGAGGGCACATCCGGGAGCAACAACACACAGACGTCCAACACGTGTTTTGATGTTGTTTGTTCGTGCTTGGGTGCAGCTGCAGAAGTATGAGGCAGGCTACACCCTGTATTATCAGATAGATTTTACTATATTATATATTCACTTGACACTCAACATCATTACATGTTAAAATCTATATACCGTACACATATACACATATATATGCCAACGGCGGGATTACGTCCGGTGTTGGTTTAGGGGGTCTTCCTGGGCCTCGTTGTTGCCAGTCCCATTCGCACCATTGACCGTTCCAGGCTCCAACCTCAGGCCGCGGACAGCGGGCTCCGCCTTGAGGGTTGGCACTGGTTTGAGAGGACTACAAAGGGCTCCATAGGGTTCCTCCAAGCAAGATGAAGTACTCGTGTAAGGGGCCATAAGGTGCTATTTTCCTCTTCCATAGTATTTCCGGGGAGTGTATTCCTACATATTCCTACTCAGGACAAGTGGGTAACCTTTATCCAGGGAAACTGAGGGAGGTCAATATTGGTGAAATCCGCCTGCTGGCGGAGTGGTTAGAGTTAGAGATGTCAAAGATCAACAGTCAGTTGGTGTTTAGAACGCATGTGGAACCTGATGTGTCTATATTAGTTCGACAGACCGTATCCAGTAGGTGTCTATTTATTGGTTCGTAGACTCCAGCAGACATTGCCAACGTTTGCAAGATTTGGAGCCTCCGGATGTGGAGTGCGGGGCCTTTTCTCGATTGGTGCAAGGAGGAGTGGGCACCACTGGTTGGTTGGATGGTCTTCTTATTGTTGAACTGTAGACCAATAGGTGTGGGACAGACGATCCAGTCCATTTGGGGAAAGAGCATCTGAGTGCACTGTCGCTATATCTCGGCCCAGAGTTGAGGAATCGAAGGTTCAACATGGTCCAACTCATTTCTTGAAGTCGATATGTAGCTTCGGCATGATTTGTGTTTCGGCTGTCCTTGGACCCTGTGCACACATGTGCATGTGTGGTGTGCGTGCGCTGTCGACGATTCGTATTGGTTCGGTTCACTGGTTCACTTCCCTTTGGTCACAAGGCAGAGAGGCTCCAGAAAGACATCGAGGACAGGGCTGCGGGGAGATTCGCAGGCGCCCGCCAGGAGCAGCGCTGAGTCCGCTGAGTCTGGATAGAGAAACAACCGCAGTGAGCAACACAGCCCACGGAGTGCCTGGAGAGCGAAAGATGTTGGACCAGCAGGTTCGTTTGATATGAGGGGTTTTGGATGGTTTTGGGGTTAAGCGATGTTAAGCGATGTTGAGAGTATGTAGAAGCTGGGTCGATCGAGGTCCGTTTTTGATGGTATTTCAATGTATTTCATGGTACATTGTTGAGCATTCTTTTACTGTAAGCTGCCCCTGGAGGGAGCTCAGAAGCCGGGCTTGTCCATCTTCCCCGTATGAGTTCCGGGCGCCCTTCGGAGCAACCACTCACCATGCACCTGCAATGAAGATCCTTTCGGCATAAGTTCTTTCCTTTTTCGGGAATCAGCGGCTCTTCCCGTCCTGAGGCGGAGATCAACTGTTCGCCGCGTCAACGCTTTTGCTGCTGCAAATTGTTCCCTTTCAGGAACTTATGGATCCTTAAATCCTTGGAGGTCCTTGGATCCGAAAGCTTCACGCTGTCACCTCTCCGATGCTTGGATCGATGTCTTCCTTTGGTTTACACTGTTACACCGTTATCTTCCCATCGTCCCAACGTCCGTTTCGTGGGTTCTCCCCTCGTTTCGTGGAGGACAGGCGTCTTGGTGGAGGGCCATGGTCCGTTTCGGATGGGGGTGCTTGGGCTACGACTGGTCATGACCATCGCGTTCCACCCGA